GCGGAGTCTCTGGCCTGAGAAGCCTGTGAGGTGGCAGAGAGGCGGGGTGCAGGGCCCAGCCTCCCCCCTCCAGGGGCACCCACACTGCCCTCATGCCCCGAGACCCAGAGCGTCTCCCTCGACCCAGAGATTCTGCTCCCCGGGACTGTGGCAGCCCCTTCCTGGGCTCGGGCTCGGGGCCGCACTTGGCCTTGGCAGCAGTTGAGGAAGGAAGGGGCTGGCGGGGTGGCAGGGAAGCCACTGGTGCCACTAGAGTGGGCAGGAAGAGGCCCCCAGAGGCCAGTCGGAGAAATGGGGGCTGACGCCCTCCAGCAGGAAAGCTGCAAGCGGGAGCCTGGCATCAGGAGCAGAGCCTGGACTAAGGGTCCTCCCGGCCACAGAGACCAGGGGAGGAGGCTCCCGGGCCAAGGGGGTCCCTGCCCTCAAGCCCCATCTCCTGGGAGGGCCACCGCTGGTCACTAGCACTGCGTCCCCCAGGCAGGAGCTCCACGCCTTCCCAGGGCAGGACTGGGCGGGGGTTTCTGGCCACAGGGGCCAGCTCTGTCTTCTCGGGGACCGGCTCCCCGCCCAAGGACGTGGCGCTAACATGACTGCACTCACGCTGCTGTCCCCAGCCACCACCACGGGCTCTCTGGCAGCTGGCAGAGGGCGGCTCACAGCTTCCGGAAGTGGCCGTTGAGAGCCCATCACCATGTGGTCACTCACATGCAGAGAATCCTCCAAGAGTCCAGGGCCGCTCGCTCCTGGCTGAGTGCTGCTACGGTTGTCATGGCAGCCGGCCTGTCACTGAGGGGACCTCGTGGTGCCCCAGGCTTGTCCCGGCCCCCAACCACCACCCAGAGGTGCTCACCTTCAGGCAGAACAACGGTGCATGTGCAGCTGGCCAGAGGAAAGTGGACTCAGGGCCCCCATCTGCAGGGTGCAGGGGCACCCAAGGCTCTCACCGACAGCTCAGACCCAAAGGTTTCTTTCTATCGGCACCCCAAGAAGCTGGAAACGACAGCGGGCACATTCACTTCATTCAATGTAAGAGGTTTACCTACTGAATCTCCCCGGAACGCGTCACTCCCTGAGTCAGTAGCTGGACACAACCATTAGCCCTCTGCAGCTACTAGGGGCCAGGACAGGGTCGCTTGGTTGGAGGGGGTCTGTCTTGGGTCTCCACAGGGTGTCATCACGCTGCCCAAGGGGGCTCTCACTCACTAACAGGATAGGTGGGTGGGGGCTGGGGGCACCCTCGGGGAACATAGAGGAGACCCCACGCTCCCTCCTGCCTCCTGGTCCCCTTGGAGTGTGCTCACCCTGGAGGTGGCACCTCCTGCTCCCCCCGCCCCCCCCCCACCCCGTGAACTCCTCCATGAGGAACCCAAATGCCTCTCAGGGGGTTGTCTTTGAACTCCCTGACCGCCAGGCCAGGTGGTTCCTGGAGCTGCTGACCTCTGAGCCGGCCCAGTGGGAAGGGAAGGACATACGGACACATGCTTGGCTCAGGCATCCCAAGCTTGGCCCCTCCGCTGACCAGCGAGGGCCCGGAAGGAGGGACACTGGCCCCCAGGATGGAGGCTCCGTTGCTGCTTCCTGCCGTGTGGTGCCTCTGGGTTGGAGCTTGTGTGGTGATAAGCTCCCCGTGACAGTCATCATCAAAGACAGATGGACGGTCTCCTGGGGCACTTTGCTGGCCGTATCTGATGCTGAGCTGCAGGCCCAGCTGGGTGATGATAGGGGCATGGAGCTCACGTCAATGACCCAATGACCTTCCTGTCCCACTGGCACCCAGGAGTACCTGATACCCCAACATTGTCCCTCTGGGGACGGGTGGGGCCCAGAAGCACTGCACAGTAGTGGCGGGGTCACACCACGCCACCGAGGGCTGGGAAGAGGCTGGCCTTGGATTCCATGGCGCTGAGGGCGCGGGTTCTCAAAGCGAGATCTCAGGAAAGGAAAATGAGTGATTTCAAGCCGGGAGGGTCACGCTTTTCAGCTGTCCCTAGAGGCAGGACTGAAAGGCTTTCCAGGAATCCCGGTGGGGGGCCGTGTGTCCCTCCAAGGTGGGCCCAGGAGGTGTGCAGGGGATGGGTGGAACTGCTGGTGGGGGGGGACAGCCTGAGCCCCACCTCCAGGCGGATGCCCAGGCGTCAAGCTCTCCTGGCTGCAGCAGGACCCACCCACTTCTTTGGCGTCGGAAAATTTGCCTCCGTTCTTCGTGGGCTCGGTCTCAAAAGTGGGGCAAAATCGATGGAGCCTGGGTAAGGAACCAGCCCCCCGTCCCTCATAAATGCCCAGGCTTTGAGACGAAAATAGCAGCAGGAAACCCTCCCACAAAGGTCAACTCTTCCGGCATGGGGGGACAAGAAACCGTCTATGTGAAATCTTAACAAGCAGCCCCTGGCCGCTGACCCCTGCCATTGCCAACAATCCAGCATTGAAGGCCACGGGGCTTCCGTTTCCTGCCAGCAGCATTGGCCAGACAGACACACGGACGGAAGCGTCAGCCCTGCTGTCTGGCTCCGGAGGCAGAGGGGGGACGCACATCCTTGCAGAGCAAGGCCATTGGTGGGCTCGGCTGCCCAGAGGGTCCCTCTCTCCCCGACCCCCCCACAAAGGCTGCTGTGTTTGCTTCCTCTGAAAACAAGCCCACGTCTGTCTGGGGCACAAACCACCCTCTGAGAGAGCTTCGCAGCTCACAGGTTTGAAAGAGAAAGGGAGCTCGGGGGATCTGGGGTGCGCAAGGCCCCAGGCCCGATCCCCGGCTCCCTGTAGCCCCACCGCACCCCGAATGTGTGCAGAACTCAAGTCAAGAATGACCGTGTATCAACAGAGGACACTCCCCTTCCCCAGAGTAGCTGAAGCCCCCAACCCACCCATCGCCTGTGGAACAGAATGTGCCCGCGTGGGCAGCCGGAACGGGCAGCCTAGAAATGATTGTTCTCAGATCACAACAATGGTCTTAAACATCAACAGCATTTAAAGACCAACGAGATCAGCCTCACTGCTGGAGTCAGAGGGTGGGCTTCCCCCAAACCCACCGTTTCCTGGGCCCACTGGAGCACCATTCGGCTCCTGGAATGCTCCTCCTGCCTGGAGGTCAGTACTTCATGTTGGCTAACTGGAAGCTTTGCAGATTAGAGCCCCAGGTCGTGTCTGAGACAGACCCCGGGGGCTGACCCCGCCCAGCCAAGTGGCAGGGAAGCTCCTCACTGCCGCAGTGTCTGTGATTGGGAATGGATTCACTCGTCTTTATTGGGTCGGGGGCCACCGGCCGCTGATGGGATGGAACCTGGGCCTGCCACATGCATAGGTCTGCTCAGCCCATCGCACTCTCTCCTCCGAGGAACTCCAGATTTTATTTTTATTTATTTATTTTGCTTTTTGGGTCACACCCAGCGATGCTCACGTATTACTCCTGGCTCTGCCCTCAGGAATTACTCCTGGCGATGCTCGGGGGGCCATATGGGATGCTGGGAATCGAACCCGGGGTCAGCCACGTGCAATGCAAACGACTTCCCCGCTATGCTACCACTCCAGCCCTGGAACTCCAGATTTTAAAACGGAGGCACGCTGGTGTCACACTCCAGCCAGTTTTTAAGAAAGAATGGGGTGGGCTGGAGCGATAGCACAGCGGTAGGGCGTTTGCCTTGCACGCAGCCAGCCTGGCCAAGCCGGGTTCGATTCCTCCGCCCCTCTTGGAGAGCTTGGCAAGCCACCGAGAGTAGCTCACCTGCATGGCAAAGCCTGGCAAGCTCCCCGTGACGTATTCGATATGCCAAACACAGTAACAAGAAGTCTCAAAAAATGGAGACGTTACTGGGCCCGCTCGAGCAAATCGATGAACAATGGGAGGACAGTGTTTGAGTAACAAGCTCAGGATTGCTGAGGACCGGGGAGCAGCCCGGCGGGGGCCAGTCCTGGGGACCCAGAGCTAAGAGTGGGGTGATCACGCTGAGAGGTGAAGGGACCAGCTGAGAGGGGTGGGCCCGGCTACTGTGCAACTGGCTGGACCTTGGAACCTGAGCAAGTGATCAACTGTCCTGGAGCCCAGAAGGCTTCCTAGGGCCAGGGCCTCTGTGTGTGTGTGTGTGTGTGTGTGTGTGTGTGTGTGTGTGTGTGTGTGTGTCTGTGAGGTAGGTGTGAGTATACGCGTGGTGTGTGTGAATGTCTTGTGTGTGTGACTGTGCCTGTGTCTGAGTGTGTGTGCTACAAGGGTTTGCACTACTGAGAGGTGGGCATTTCTCGGGCATTCTTGGGCTGGGATGGGGCAGACCCCTCAAGAGGCCTCTGGGGTCCTGGATTCCCTGGGGCTCTGCTCAGGACTCAGGGCTCCCCCTGGCACTGGGCGGGTGTGGCCTCCCCTGGAGAGTGTCCCCTCGGCACTGGGAGGTGTGTGGACCCACCTGGCCTGGAGGGGGCCATACTCTCCTTGTGGGTAACATTCTGGGCCCCTCCAGGGGGGTGCCACAGTGTCCAGTGTCTGGGGGTCCGAGTGGCCCTGGCCAGGTCCACTTCTCCCGCCCTCAGCGCCGCATCCTTTGACCAGCACAGACTTCCCAGGGACCAGGGAAGTCGGGGTGGGGTGTGTGTGTGTGTGGTGGGGGCGTCTCCAGGGCCCCCTTTCCGCGGCCAGCCAGCCCGCGGGGGACACGCGGCAACCGCACCCCGGGCTCGGGGCAGCGCCGAGGGCTGAGCTGGCCGGCCTGGCGCGAGACCTGGGGTGCCCGTCGGCCGGGCACAGGGGGGTCCGGACCCGCCCCGCGCCCGCCCCGCGCGCGCCCGGCCACCTCCTCCGGGGCGGGGATGCGCCGGGCGCCGCCGCCCCCAGCCACGTCCGGGCGGCCACGTCCCGGGCCCGGTGGGCAGCGGCGGGGGCGGCCCCTGGCGGGGACCCCGAGCGGTCTCTAGGACCCGCGGGACGCCGCGGGCGGGCGGGCGGGGTGCGGGGGAGCCGCTGCTGCTGCTGCTGCTGGCGGCGCCGGGACGGGCCGGCCCCGGGTCCAGCGCACAGGCCGCCCGCGCCCGGGGCTGGGCAGCGGCTCGCGCGCCCGGACGGGCCTCGCCATGGCCACGCGTGTCCTGCTGCTCGCGCTGGCCGCGGCCCTGCAGGCGCCCCGCGCCGCCCGCGGTAAGTAGGGGCCGGGGGGCGCGCGGGGCCGGGGGGCGCGCGCTGCTCTGGCCGTGCCCGCGCGCACGTGCCCACCCTCCGCCGTGCCCGCGCGCCCACCCGTCCCCGCGCCCCGGGCATCCCCGACCCTCGCGCCGCGCCCACCCCCGGCCCGCGCTGTCCGTCCCGCGCGCGGCGCCCGGCTGCCGTTCCCTCGCCCGCGCGCGCGCGCGCGCACCCGCTCGGCCGGGCACCTGTGGCACCGCGCCCGCCGCGCGACGGGCACCCACCCAGCAGGTGCCTGTGCCATCGGGACGCGGCCGGCCCCGCGGTTCCCTCGCAGACCCCCGGGCCGCGGCCGCTGGGGGCGCACTCGCCCTTCCCACGGAGGAGGGTGGACTGGACGGGGGGCGCCCCTCACTCCCGGGTCCCCGGTGGTCCTCCGGGATGGACCAGCGCTGGTTGGTTCCCCCACCCCACCCCAGCGACACCGTCACCGGCCGTTGGAATTTTAGGGGACCCTTTCTTTATTCTGCGGTCCCCGCCGGTCCCCTTCTAACGCCCCCGGGTCTGGTTAAAACTCTGCAAGGCGGAGGAAGGACAATTTGGGAATTTGGGATTAAGTAGAAGAAATTGCACAGAGCGGGAATTGGCCAGAGGCTACTGCCGTTGAAAAGTCGCTGGGCCTGGGACAGGGGCCGTGGGGGGCTGCGGGGGACTCCGGAGGACTCTGTACAAATTGGTCTTTTAGAGGAATGATCTCAGTGCCAGCCCCCTGCTCTCTCCCCGGTACCTGCTCTGCCCTCCCTCAGAGTCTGCCCCACGGCCAGGACTTTCCCTTAGAGGAAACTCTTCCCCAGATGAAGCCAGTGATGGGAGATGATTTTCTGCGTGGGCTCAGACTCTAGCGGGGGCGGCTCTGGTGGAGAGCCCGTCTCCCGTGGACAGTCCAGCTGAGGGTCCCTTAGGCAGAGGGCGCTGGAGCCTCTGAGCCGTGGAAGTCTCAGGGCTTTCACTGGTGGCTTCTCCTCCTTGTCACGGAGTCTGGAATCTGCAGCCGCCGGAGCCCTGTGTGAGGTGCTGCAGGAACCCAGACCCCTCAGGAAGCATTTCTGTGTGTTGATGGGAGACCAGGAGAACTTTCTGCTCGTTGAAGGCCGAGCGTTCTGCTCAGAGTTTGCCCTGGGCTCTGTGGCCAGCCTGCTGGGCACCGGGCAGTGATGTACTGGGCATCCCTATGGGTGACTTGGCATTCTCCAGGCCCAGAGCAGAGCCCGTGGTCACAAACCTAGAGGTCCACGTGCGTGTCCTGCCTTCCGTGTTCAGCCTTGCTCTCTGGTGCTGTGGCCTCCTGACTATTCTGCAGAGCCGTGGCTTGTCCTGTGCCCTTCCCGGCACTGCAGCCAAGGCGGTCACGTCCAGGCGTGGGGTGAATTGGGCTGGCTTCCTGCTGAAAACTGCAGTGGTCTTCAGAGGCTCTGAATGACCTGATCCCTGTCCTCCCCCCTGACCATTCCAGTCTCACTGGAGTCTCTGGTTTTCCAACTTTTTGGTGTCGTGTTTGCTCTGACTTTTGGAAACCAGTATGAAATACTTGACCAGCAGCACTGGCAGCTGAGATACCGTTTAGTGGTCCCACTGGTAGCTTTTTGTTTTTGCTACAGTTAATAGTTGCTTATTTTTTTTAAATTGTTTCCTTGTCCTTTCCTCCCCCCCTCCTCCCTTCCCCTCTTTCATCTGCTTTGTCCTCTGTGTTCCCACGCCTCTCTCCACAGTTCTGGGAGAATGCTCTTCTCCTTCCAGAGGGATCGAATGTGTATGTACTATGGCTTCTTTCTTGGGGCATCTCTTGTGAAGTCCTTTCTCTCTCTGATTCCAGCAGCGCTGCATCCTACTCCCACACTCCTCTTTAGGTTTATGGTCCAGCTTTGGCCCCAGAACTTTCCTGGTCACCTGGGTGATGCTAAAATCCCTCCCTGCACCTTTCCCTGAGTGTAACCACAACACACTCTCTCTGTCTCTCTCCATCACTATCTCATACTTCCTCTCTTCCTTTTTCTTTTCCTTCTTTCTCTTTTTCTTTCTCTTTATCCTTTTCACTGTTTCTTTCTTTTTCTTTTTTTCTCTCTCCTTTTCACTCTTTCTTTTTTCCTCTCTTTATCCTTTTTTCTCTCTTTTTCTTTCTTTCTCCTTTCTTTTTTCTCTCTTTCTTTCCTTTCTCTTCTTTTCTTTTTTTCTTTATATTTTGGGGAACACACTTTACAGTGTTCAGGGATTCTCCTGGCTCTGAGCTCAGGGATCACTCCTGGTGGTGCTCAGGGATCACCCCCCTTCCCCACCCCGTGCAGGGCAAGCCCTTCCCCACTGCACTGTCTCTGGCTCCCCAACTCCCCTGGTGTGGCCTTCTTTTCCTTTTTTGTGGAGTACATCTTCTAGTCAGTTCCCTGGGGAGAGTGGGTGGGGGCAGATAAATCATTCCAGAGAGGAATGCTTGCCAGAGAGGAGAGCCGCCCTAATGGGTACCCACTGCAATGCCAGGCGGCTAACAGTCCAGCAGTTGGTGAGCCTGGCGTTGAGCCGCTTTCCAGAGCCCAGGCTCTTACTTCTCTCCATCTACATACGTACATGTTGACTTTGGTTTTTATGTTTTCCTATGGGCTCACATGTATGCTTGGCATGTGTCTGCCTTGCAGAAGAAACTGAGCAGAAGAGGCAAAAGGCGGAATCAGACAAGTTAATTGTGTTGGTAAAAAAAAAAAAATTAATCTCGAGGCTTTCCTTGCAGATTTTCTCCTGGGCAGATGGTGATCCTGGGTCACTCTGGTGGAGGGGAGTAGACAGATCCTGTGAATAAGGAAGAAGCCGGATGCATGTCCATGTGCCATGGGAACAAATCTGTGTGTGTTCCCGCCCTGTGTCGCTCGTTTGGGTGGGAAACATTCCAGGAGAGGCCTGTGTCCTGGGGACACGTCCGCCGCGTCCCTGCTGGCATCGCTGCTCTGACTTGTGGCACTGTCTAAACCTCTGTCTGGGGGGGTGGAGAGGGGTAGGGCTTTGGGGGCATGCCCGGCTGTGCTCAGGGCTTCCTCTTGGCTCTCCTCAGGGAACAACGTGTGCGGAAGAGCGAACCCACTTCTGGGACACGCGAGGCACGCGCCCAGCTCACTCTACTCTCTCTCCAGCCCCACCTCAAACCTTTGCTTAAGAAAAAGATTTGGGTGGGGGACTCGGGTCACGTCCTGTGGTCTTGAGGAGCAAGGTTCTCAGGAGCAAGCCCCTGTGGGGCAGAGGGCACCAAGGCACAGCCAGGAATGGCACCAAGGCTGACGGTATGTGAGGAAGCGCCTTAGCCCTGTCTGAAACCTTTCCGGAAGCTTCTCTCTGTAAGGAAGTTCTCATCCCCTTCTTCTCTCTTCCAGTTCCGGATGATTTGTGTTTTCTAAGTTCTTATCAGTAATTATGCAGGAAAAGTCCACGAGTGAGTCTTTCCCGGTTAAAAATTCATGCTCTGAAGTTCTAATGTTTTCCTGTATTATTTAATTATTTCTTCCTGGTGATTTTTATCATGCTTTCCTGAAACTGAACCGCATGGGGTATCCCATGCTTCCAAAAAACATGTTCCAGCTTTCTTTTCTATTTTTTTTTGTCTCTGTATATTTGGTTTCACATTCCAGAATAGTTTCATTTCATTTCCCAACCTTATTATTCAGGTGTTTAAAAATTTTTTTTTCTGCTATATGATCCCCAAGAGATGGCTCTTGTGTTGTGAATTCTTCTTTTTTTCGGGGGGGGGGGGGAGGATGGGGAATGATGTCTTATTATTTTTTTATAATGGGTCCAATGCATCTATTAATTCTTGTGTGTATTAATTTTACTGTCTAAGTCAGAGGTTCCCAAGCATGTAGCCCCTAGCCTACTAGCCTACTCGCCCCTTCTCAGAAGATGAGAAGTCTCACGGTGCTCCCTGAAAACTTCTTTTTTTTTCTTTTGGGGTCACACCCGGCCATGCACAGGGGTTACTCCTGGCTCTGCACTCAGGAATTACTCCTGGCAGTGCTCAGGGGACCATACGGGATGCTGGGGATCGAACCCGGGTTGGCCGCGTGCAAGGCAAATGCCCTACCCGCTATGCTTTCTCTCCAGCCCCCTGGAAACTTCTTTTTCAAGTGAACAAAAGGAAACCATCCCTCCCCAGTTGCATCCGAAGCTACTCCCACTTCTGGATGTCCCAGTAGCCCCACCCCTTCCTGGGTGGCACCACTCCCGTGGGAAGTTCTGGCCTGCTTCCCCCTGTGGGCTTGGTTCTCCCGCATCTCTCCCCCTCAACAGTCTGCGAGAGGAGCGCAGGGGGCAGCCCTAGGAGCGTGTGTCCCCCGTAAAGGATGCTTCATTTTCCAACTGCATCCTGGCCCTTTTGGTTTGCCTTTGCTCATGCCCATCTCAGCTGTCCCTGGGGTCTCCAGGAGATTCATCTCCTGCTCTGTGGGAGCTGGGGAGGGGCTGGGGGCTGTCCGGGAGACCCAAGGCTCAAACTCCTCCCTGGCTGCTCTGAGGCTGGCCCGGACCCCCGCTCTGCCCATCACTCGCCTTCCCCAGGCGGCAGACTCCAGCTCGCTCTGCTCTGCCAAGTCAGCACCCCTGGGTGTCTCCTCGAGGTCCAGCAGACTTCTGCCTCCTCCTCTCTCCCATGTCAACATCTGCTTCCTGCTCCAGATGTCCAGGAGCTGGTGGGGGTCAGCGCGGGCAGGCTCTGGCGGGGTGCGTTGTCGGTCCACTTGGAGACACATGGTCTTTCTCTTTTGCCCTTTTCTAACCCATCTTTATGGGAAAATGACCCCACTCGAAAGGTTTCAGAGTTTGCTTTCCCACATGGTGACATGCCTGAGAGCTGATTTGCCCACTTAGATGCTGCGGCGGCAGAAACGGAGACCGCCCTGAGGGTAGCTGCACCCTCTCAGGAGGCGGAGCACGTTGGCGCCGAGTCGATGCCCCCCACAAACTTAGGGCAGGCGGGCACCGCC